ATTTTATGTTTAAAATCAACACTATTTAATAAGATGAAGAAAATCAATATACCATGTAGTTGCACAAACGCGATGTACAGCTCCTGCAGCAATTATTGCACCCAACAAGCTAACAATGATTTCTGGAAACAGTTTGCACTGAAACGCTGGTCCAAAAAAGGTGCATTCAAAGTTTCCAATTGCCTAAACAACTTGTTAAGGTTTATATTTGATGAGTGACATTATAAGCCATTATTGATGATTGATATAAAACTTGGTAAAATTCTTTTGAAATTTCACATAATATGTTAACACTTAATTCATTCAGAAATGACACTAATTGTTGTATAAAAACCAAATTATGGAAAAATTTCTGATCTATAAAAATCATATGAGTTGATTTTTTTTTAAGTGGTTTTTTACTTAATTCCTTAACTTGCACGCTCGAGCGCGCAATTCGAGAGCGTTAAACCAGCCAAACTGTGCACACTTGAGATAATTCGAAGGGTGCTATACATATTTGATGCTGAGAATAAATATTAGTATTATTTTCGTTCTAGAAGTATAAATAAATATTTTAGCTGATAAAGATGTTTTTCATGAAATAGTAATTCGAAACAAAAAATAAAAAAGTCTATGAACGTGTAACATTGCAATATTCGACTCTTTTCTACAATGTTGATCAAAATCCAAAATTAAACTAAAAATTTTGATTAATTTAGATTTTATTTATTTTTTTGCCAAAACAGTGTTCTAAAGTTTGTTTTTTTACATTAAAAAAAAAATATTTTTTTTTGGCAGGGTTTTTTCAAAAAAACTGTGAGGCAAAGATGCTCGTAAATATTCAATTATTGTTAAAAACAGATCATACATTTTCTTGATTCAAAAACTTGGCCAATCATAAAATATAATTTATTATATTAAGATACCTACACCTATTTATTTAAATTTATATACAAAGGTAAAATGAAGTTAATGTGCATTCTGTTTTATAACTTTTAAACAATTATTAACTTTGATGCCCTGAAGTAGAGTCCAAACATATTACAGTACTGTGATTATATTTAATATCTTAATTAACAATGAGGATAATTTAAAAGGATACTGTCAATACAAATATAAATAAAACTGATCCTAAGTATCCACCTAAAATCGTGTTTAGTTGTGTAGAAGCTAACCATGGCTTATAAATTTGCATTGCAGAGAATAATAATACTGATATCAGAGAAGACAGCACAAATGAGGCACTTGTAGAAACAGCTATTAAAAATTAATGTTATATATAACATTATATTATAACGTATAATTTTGTTATTATTTATATGTAACTTACCCATTCTTAATTATATCATATATTGTTTATGACTTTTAAATTATTACGTGTGAATCTACAAAAATCTCACGCGTTACCTAAATAATAAACGTCAAACTAATATTATTGTATTACACGTATCTTATTGTGAAAACAAAAGCGAAGTTTCTATCGAAAAAATAAGCATATCATATACAAAATAATGAATACATAAATGTTTTCATCACCATGTAATCAAACACAAAACGCCAAATGTCAGCTACACAAGAATGACAACTATATAAAATATTACTAATATTTTGGAAGATCTGTCAATGTTGGCGATAGTGTTTATGTACGGCAGGAAGTAAGAAATGATTCGTCTGCGCTAGGTAGAGCGAAATTAAACAAGATTCGGCCATTTTCATGTGGTTAGTTGTCCACGTTTGATAGTTGTACGGTTGTTTATTATTTTTTAGGTATGTACTTCAGGAAAAGTGTAACAAATTAAATTTTTTTAATGTTAACATGTGTATATGTAATAATTATGTTGTTCGTAGCAATTGATGCTGGTGCATAAAATTTTTGATTTTGGGGTTAACCGCATGTTGCTATTGACAGATTATTTAATTCTAAATAGTGTACCTTTTTTACATATTGAAACTCTTATGTGTATTAAATACTAAACGTACATTGTTTCAGTTAAAATGAAGGCTAAAGGAGAATTGAAGGAATATGAAGTGATTGGTCGCAAGTTGCCTACTGAGAAAGAAAAGACCACACCACTTTATAAAATGCGAATTTTCGCCCCAGATAGAATTGTTGCTAAGTCTCGCTTTTGGTATTTCTTAAGGCAATTAAAAAAATTCAAGAAGACTACTGGGGAAATTGTATCAATCAAGCCGATACATGAGAAGACACCTATTAAGATAAAGAATTTCGGCATTTGGCTGCGATATGACTCCAGATCTGGAACACACAATATGTACAGGGAATACAGAGACTTAACTGTCGGAGGTGCCGTCACTCAGTGCTATCGTGACATGGGTGCACGCCACAGGGCTCGTGCTCACTCTATTCAAGTAATCAAAGTGGAAGAAGTGAAAGCTGCTAATTGTAGACGCCCTCAAGTTACACAATTCCACGATGCGAAAATCAGGTTCCCATTGCCCAAACGTGTACAACAACGCAATCTAATGCCTAAGTTCTCAGTGCGCAAACCACGTACATTCTTCTTGTAAGATCACATGTATGTTATATTATAATAAAGAGGAAATCTAATACTCGCAGTTTTTTGTTTCCATGACTATTACAGGCTTCATAAATAAAATTTTCATTTTATTTTGTGATCAAATCATTTCGCTGTATGTAATACAATAAACTTAGTTTTATAATGCAAATCACTTTGCAGTGTTACTGCAGGTCTCCAATAAATTGTCAAATTATCCATAATGCAGTTTAATAATTTATTAATTTCACATTAAATTCTTCAATTTGATTATTGCACTTAAATCAGTCATTTTAACACATTTAAATAAATTACACAATTCCTTACAGCAAGCCATAAATCGCATTATGTAAATACTAAACATATTGCAATGTTATTAAAAAATAAGTGCTGTGTGTAAGGTAAAATAGTTTTACTTTACTAGTTTGTTGTTAAATAAAAAATGTGCAACTTAAAACGAAGTAGTCATCAACGTTAAATTTTGTGTTTGAGAATGTTGGGTTTTACAACAAACTATAGTTACTTTTGATTTTAAGCATTTGTAAATTCAAATTACCAACAATAATAGTTTATGATCAAATAAAAAAAATGTATATTGATACAATAATATTCATTACCTGCAATTGTCTTGGTTCATTACCTGCAATTGGCTCACCAAAAATGGTTCTGTAATGTCATTGCATTGTGAGCCACCAGTGGCCATGCGGTCTGTAAGGTTAAATTTTATTAGAATGAACTTGATTTTTTTGACCTAAAGCAACATCCTCCTGCTTGTTACCATAAAAATTCACACAATAAATAAATTTAAACCATTCCTAATTTTTTAATCCACTAAAACTATCTTTTTGCTTGTTTTATAATATTGTCTACAAAAACATTAGTAACAAAAAAAAAAAAAACGATTTTGAGCAATATTTATTTTTATTTAAGTGAATTATCAATATATATAAAGGGCACCAAGTGGTTGCAAATAATAAACATTGACCTTATATAAATTGCACAAGAATAACAAATAAGATGGTGATAGATATGAATTTGGATGATTGTATAGAGTGGACTATTTTTTAATTATCACTTATATTTTGTGCAATATTAGATTCCTTTGTTTCAAGTTCTTGTATTTGTTTAAAAGTGTAAAACAAATATAATATTCAATTAAAATAGACATATTTACAATTGCGTGCATTTTAAATTATATAGGCTTTGAATTATTATTGAATTTCACAAATGCATATTTTTAATTACAAAGTGTTGTTATTATAATAATGAGCTATTTAATACCTTGCACATTCCTTATCAAATTTGTTTTACAAATTCAAACTGAATCATACATATCTGCTGCAAAGTATCTAAACTTTTCATTCAAAATTAAAAATATAGATACATTTTAATCATCTATGATTTTAAATGGATATATATATATATCAATTCTAAGATTATCAGTTATTTCTTAAAAATAATATTTTTTTTTTTAAACTTGTTTGCAATAATTTTCATAATGTGTAACGTCTGGAAACAATGGCCAGTTATGGCTAAATCCTTGAAGGTAATTAAATCTAAGCTCTACAATAGTATACACCAAATGAATCAAAATGCAAGGTAAATTTCATAGCAACTTTGTATGAACAAAAATGCCACTTTTACTTTCATAACTTTCTTACTTTAATAAATAAATATAAGTTTAGTTCTATGAAACATATATCAATTTTGATCAAATTTAAAATACGATTAGAGATAACATCAAATTTTAACTTAATTACACGACTTGCAAAATATTAATATTCATTAATATGTAAGTTAGACAGATCACCTAAACATCAAATATTAAAAAGTCATTTTTGCAGCTATGCTAATCTTTGGATTAATTGCCTTTTCATAAACATAAGTTTCCCAATCCCTCTAAAAGCTACTTATATAACTAATGACAAAATTATCTTTATCTAAAATCAAAATGTTATAAACTAAAATTAAGTGAAGGAAATCATCATCACATGTAATGCTAAAATCTAAATATAAAAATTGAATGTAAATTTTAATAATTGAAATAACATACTTATTATACTGCAGCCCGTTTACTTGGAGAGCTCATAATACTATTTGCAGAAAATGACAAGTCTTGAAGTTGTGATTGAAATATACTACCTTCAGATCTTCGATACTCATTTCCAATTTGATTCAGGTCTAAATCAGCATTCAGAATTAAAACCTATGGAGTAAAAATGATAAATACAGAAAAAATATCACAAAATAATTATTAATAATAAAGCACAAATTTAATTCATGTAGAGTAAAAATGAGAGAGAAAAGTATATACAGGTAATAACCGTAAAACAACGTTCCAACAAAGTATTTTATTATGCAAACCTGTGTTATTGACTAGTTCAAAAGGAGGAGTTATGTCCCAAAAATTTAAAAAAAAGTTACATAATACATAAATATATTCATTAATTTAAAAAAAAAAATGTATTAACTAAATTAAATGATATTTTTTTTGTCATAACC